AGAGTAACAGAAAACACATAGCCCCAAACAGAAGAGGTCTGGTGTGACAGTGCAAGCTTTTCTTCTAACCTCCTGGCTGACGGCACATTCAGAGAGCACAGTCATTGCACAACTGCCTGCTAAGTGGGCCAGCCACACCCTTTGCCCTCTGTGGGTATGCAGAGTTGCAGGGGATAGTGGGCAAAAGATCTGGAACCGTTGTTTGTATAAGCTAAGAGAAGGGTCTCTGCTTGGGCATTGGGAATACAGCAGACATCCACAGTGGACAAGCAAAGAGAACTAAAAGGAATCTCTTTCCAAAGTGAAATACGCTAGAGTACTTAGCTTGCTGGCATTCTGTGCCTACTTCCGCAGAACTTAGTCAGCATTCCCATGCAAAGGAGAGGCCTGTCAGGGAAACAGAGGTATGACACTTTAGAGGAAACCCACACCCCAGACTTATACTAGTTAGCCTAATCCATTCACAAGTAAGAATGGAGAATTAATGGTCACTAGACATTTACATGAAACCAACATTCGAGATGAACAAACAGAATGGACTCAGAGAAATGGAAGCTAATTCAAACAAAAAGGAATGCAGTTAAAAAAAATTCTAACTAGAGCTATATACACAGTAGAAACTGTCTGGAGTCTCTGCTCTCCTCACTCTAAAACACGCCAATGCATGCCCACAGCTGCTTAAATCCCACAGAGAGTGCTTACTCTCCAGATGGCCCTCCTCTAGTAAGGAGTGTGTTGACTAGGGGTCTGTAGGGGCCATTCCCAAACCTGTTTATAGGCATTTGTACTTGTTAAATAGGCATGTAATTCAACTGAATGTTATAAAAGGCCTTGAAATAAGGGGACAAAGGGAGAGTTGTTTCCATGAAAACGAAAAGTTGAATGTAGTTACTGCCTCTAGCACTGAGTGGTTGTTGGTTTTCTCCATTCCTTGAAGTCCATGTCAGTAAACTAATGGAGAAGTTGTCTCCTCCCTATCCACTAGGTGCTCTACCTCAAAGTAGTGGAGAAAGCAAGAACAGAGTGGTTGAGGTCCCATTTAGAGAAAAGAGAATGGGAAGGGCCTAGTGGTGAGGCCCTCCTTTGGCATGAAGTCAGATCCTTGGTTCCACCTTACTGCTCCCCTCTGAGATAGACCACTGTGTGCTCAGGCCTCGTCCGTTGTAGGTTCTGCCTCATTGGTAATCCTTTGTGACCATCTCTGAAGTAGATACTAGAAATACATCCTCCCCGGGGGCTGCACCGCTTTTGCTACTCACTCCCTGCTTGTGTAGTTTTGGGAGCTGCTTTAGGGCCGAAGGGTCAGGATTGGAGGTGGGCGCATCCTCAGTCTTCTGCTGCCTTTGTTTGCTGTGAGATTTCTTCAGAAACATAAGCTTGTGGTGTCAAGTCCGTGTGAAAGCGAATCCCATCAGGGGGTTCGTCCTGTCATATTCCTACATCTTTAGATTCTCATTGCTTTCTGCTGTTCTCTGCCATACTCTCACTTTCCTGATAGTTAACTTTTGTCAAATGCTGTGCTCTAGCCCAATAAGGGTCATTGCCTTTCTAGCCTTTAGGATCCATATCTGTTTTCTTACTACCCACTGTTTTCCTCCTGCCCAAATGTTCAACTGATGACTCATTTTTAGGGTTTTTGTTACCATAACACTCCAGTGTCGTTGGAGATTAGAACCTAGTATATTATATGTTGATCAGAGTACAGGTTAAGCTAGACTATAAAAATGAACCCCCCACATACAGTGGCTCCAGTGAGGGAAAGTCTACCTGTCTCTCTGGTAGATCATGCATCTGGTATGGCACAGTGGGCAGTGCTGCCTCAGAGCATCCTCCAGCAGTGGCTTCTGTCTTGTCACCATGCTGTTCCTTGGGTGGTGTTTAGTCCACAAGGTCAGTGTGTGCTCACATGCCTACCTTTGAGAAGGTGAGATGTGGAGGATGAAGAGTTCCCTTTGTAGGAAATGGTGCAGAGTCGCATGAGTCACTTTTTCACATATTCCAGGACTTCATCAAATGGCCACGTCTGAGGCTATAGCAGGGGAAGTGTGTTCTGTTGTGCCGAAATCTGGGATTTTGGGAAAGTGGTTCTGGTATTAAAGGAAGAAATGGATAATGGAAACTGGGAGAGTTAGTATTCTTGGCTGTACATTTAAAATGTTAAGAAAGGTTGAAAATAAAAAGATCTCTTGGAAGAATATAACAATAAAGCAGAAGTGAACTGGCACTATTCCCATTAGTCAACAGGGAATTCCAGCTGCAAAGGGTTAAAAGAAGGCTGTTTAATATTGACAGGAGTTTCAGCTCCACCACCCTAAAACAACATGCCATTTATATATTTTAAGCAAAACTTGTTAGAAATAAAATAGATCATCACCTCAGAGTGTAACTTTAATACCCCTCTCAGAAATTTGAAGATAAAATAGACAAAAAGTAATAAGTGTAAGTAAAAATTGAATAGCATAATTAATAAATTGGAAATGTATTTGCAACTTTGTATCTGACAGTATATTCTCTTCTAGTCTCTGTAGAACATTTATAAAAGTTGATAGGCTCGGCGCCTGTGGCTCAAGCGGCTAAGGCGCCAGCCACATACACCTAAGGTGGTGGGTTCGAATCCCCAGCCCGGGCCCGCCAAACAACAATGATGGCTGCAACCAAAAAATGGCCAGGCGTTGTGGCGGGCGCCTGTAGTCCCAGCTACTTGGGAGGCTGAGGCAGGAGACTCGCTTAAGCCCAGGAGTTGGAGGTTGCTGTGAGCGTGATGCCATGGCACTCTACCCAGGGGGATAGCTTGAGGCTCCGTCTCAAAAAAAAAAAAAAAAAGTTGATGTAAAGGGCCAGGTACAGTGTCTCAGGCCTGTAATTCTAACACTTTAGGGGGCTGAGATGGGTGTCATGCCTGTGCTCCAGAGTTTGAGATCAGCCTGAGCAAGAGTGAGACCCTGTCTCTACTAAAAATAGAAAAAACTAGCCAGGTGTTGTGGCAGGTGCCTGTAGTCTCAGCTATTTGGAAGGCTGAGACATGAAGATTGCTCAAACCCTGGAGTTTAAGGTTATTGTGAGCTATGATGCCACAGCATTCTACCCAGGGTGACAGAGTGAGACTGTCTCAAAAAAAAGTTGGCATAAAGATATTTTTTCTTGGCTGGGTACAGTGGCTCACACCTATAATCCTGCACTTTGCGATGGTGAGGCAGGAAGGTCATTTGAGACCAGCCTGGGAAATAGTAAGCAAGACCCTGTCTCTAACAAAAAAGAAAAAAATAAGCCGGGTGTAGTTGTGGTGTTTGCTTGTAATCCCAGCTACTCAGCAGGCTGAGGCAGAAGAATCGCTTGAGGCCAGAAGTTTGAGACCAGCCTGGGCAACAGTAAGACTCCATCTTTACAAAAAAGAAAAAAAAAATTATCCTGGTATGGTGGTACACACCACTCAGCTACTCAAGAGGCTGAGGCAGGAGGATCACATGAGGCCAGGAGTTTGAGGTTGCCGTGAGCTATGATGATACAACTACACTTTAGCCTGGTGACAGAATGAGATTCTGTCCCACCAAAAAAAAAAAAAAAGTTGTTTGTCTTTCTTTTTTTTTTAATTTAAAAATTCAGTTTATTGTGGAAGTCAATTTAAAACAAGCTAGTTTTAAAGTACATTTAGAAAAGCATATGTACAAAAATATCCAAGACAGGTTTGGGGATGGGAGGAGTCGTATAGAGGGGACGTGCCCAGTAAGATATCTGAGCAGTGTAAAACCACAGGAATCAAAGCACTACAGTATTGGCACAGAGATAGATAAATTTGTGGCTCATATAAGGGCCAGGAGCAGACATACATAATTGTTTTATACTTTAATTTAGTATAGAATAAAGAAGAGAGAGAAAGAGGCTTTAAAACCCTCAATCTAACTATTGTTTGTGGGGTAGGAGTTAGATCTCTATTTCATACTGTTTACAAAACTTGAAGGAAGATATATAAAGTATCTAAATGTAAAAAAGATTAAAAAGTGATGTAAAGAAATACAGGCGATTTCAAATCCGACCTCGGCCAGCTAAAACAGCAATGAGAATTGCAACAAAAATAGCCTG